ATCTGACCCAGACAACTTACAGGGGCTAAATTCGTAAAAATATCTTCTGTTTTTTTGTTTGGTCACAAAGGACTATACTGTAATTTCATACCACTTTTAGGTTAGATTTGCATTTGATTGAAGTTTGGGTCTAGTATTGGGGTCAAAACCAAGTTGTAGGTTAGTTTTGGCAAAAACCCCTTAGTTGATTTTCTAATATATATGCAGTTCGCTACGATTCAACGAATGCAACTCATTTGTTACTAGTTTCAAGTCCTAATCGACTCATGCTATAATATCCAGATCCAACCAATGAGGTTTTCCCCTTCATTAAGGTCTCCGGTGGAAGATACGACAACGATGGACACAGGACTCGAAGGCAACCTCTATGGCGGAGGAAGAAACTGTGTGTTAGTTTACCAAAAAAAAAGATACTGTGTGTTTGAGGAACTTTTAAGCTAAGAGAGCTGAGTTGCTGAGGTTTGGATTCGGATCACGAAGAGAAATGAGAACTCCAATTGCACATGCTGCCAGTGTTGAGCGTTAAGTCGTGTTTGCCATCACTTTTTTATTTTATTTTACTAATTTGTTTTTAACATGATTATTAAGTAAACTTAATACTTAAATAAATGAAAATGGATATTGAAATTAGAGAAGGATATAATATATACTGAATCTTTTCGTAGAAGGACATGGGATTCCCTCTTAGGTTTTAGGAATTTTTAAGCTAGGAGAACTGCGTCACGGAGGTTCAGATTCGGATTACACGAAAGAGAAATGAGAACTCCAATTGCACATGCTGCAACTGTTGAGCTTTAAGTCACCTTTGCCATCATTTTTTAATTTTATTTTGACTACTTTGTTTTTAATATGATTACTAGATTTTGACCCGCGCTTGAAAGCGCGGAAATGTATTATGATTAAAAATTTATATAATTGGTTTTTGTCTTAATTTAAAGAATGTTTTGATATAAAATCAGTTCACCAAAATTTGTGGCGATGATTGTTTTTCATTAGTTTTTAGTTTCAGTTTTTATTTTTAGATTTTGGATTTTTGGTTTTTAGTTTTTAAGTTTCTACTTTTCATTTTCATTTTTTGGTTTGGGTTTTTAATTTTTAAACACGCTGAGTTAGTTTGAACTAATATTACCAACAAACAAATCTCAAATAATCGAACATCTAATTTAAAACTGAAAAGATGATAACAATTTTTTTTTTTAAATTTGAAATAGTTTATTTTGTAAATAAATAAAGCAAAAAAATATAACATGTGTTTTCAGCTTTTGGTTTTGGATTTTAGTTTTTTAGATTTGGTTTTTGGTTTTGCTTTACATTTTTTTAATCAGTAAATTATTTAAGAAAAATAAAAAAATAAATTATTTAAAAGTTACCATTGAAATTTATCAAAACAAAGTGATTGTTATTTAAAATAAAAAAATATACTAACATGTTTTAAAGTACATGATTTAAATAAATGATTAATAATAGATAATTTTGTTTTGTTAAAAATATTAAATACCTTTTGTGTCTGAAAATAATAATTGATTTTTTTGATCTTTCAAGGTGAAAAGTTTATTCAATGTTTTTGGAGTTTTTTCTTAATACTAAGCCAAAAAACCAAACTATATAATTTGTTCAAAAAATAAAAGTAAACCCAAGATTATATTCCATAACTAACTGCTGGTATAATTTAAGTATAATTAGTAGATTTCCATATTCCATATTTTGATGATATATATTCTTTTATAACATTCCATATTTGTAGGAAAAAATATGTGTTTTTGGTATACACATAGATACCTGCCGTATTTTGAAGGTAGTTTACATTAAGGTCGTCTCTTTACATTAATTGTGTTGGTTTAATTTAAGTAATACGGTTCAATCAATTATATGACTTATATTATTTGTAACATTCTAGAAAGGGTCCAAATTTAAATGACAACTTGTATCAGTAGATAAAAAGAATGATTCTATTTTAATAGAGTAGATTACGTAAACTCAATACTTTAATAAACAAAAATGGATATTGAAATAAGAGAATGATATAATATAGAAAAATTCTTTAGGATAGACTTAAAATTTCTTTTATCACAAATATATAATTTAAGAATAAAATGATCAAAATAGACTTAAATATTATCAAAAATAAGTAAATATACACTTATATTCTTTGAGTTAACTAATCCTAAACATTTTTATTTAAAGTTGAAGAATTGAGTTTTGGGATGGGATTTCAAATTTTAAAAATAAAAAAAAAAAGTTAAAAATTTCAAATAAAAAATGTTATTTTGGTCATTTAAATTTTTGAATTCTATTTTTTGATAAAAGCTTAAAAATATCTATTTGAGACATTTGATCTATAATATATTTTGATTTTTTTTTTTGTAGAAAGTACATGAGATCATTGAGATAAAAATATATATTTGAGAGATTTGATCTATAATATATTTTGATTTTCTTTTTTGTAGAAAGGATATAAGATCATTGAGATGTCTTCCCTCTTAGGCTAGTGGATTTTTTTTTCTAAAGAGACAAATGTAGGAAAACTAAAGAAAATATTACATTGAGAGGCAGTTTCAAGTTATTTATAACACTCAGAGACAGTTTGTTATACTAGCAAACTCTAATGGATAATTTTTTCTCGTCACTCTTTAACTAAACAAGTGAAAAACTAAACTATTATACAATATCTTAGGGAATTAATCTCCACCACATATTTTTCTCCTTTCCCAAAACATTTTTTAATTTTTTTCTCTTTCTTTGTTGTTATCTTCTTCTCTTTGCAGAAAACTATTGATAAATTACTTTTTGTAAATCTCAAATTTGAAGAGATAGAGATCCAAAATTTTTTTTCAAAAAATAAAAATATCTATAGTTACAACATTGTTGTACTCTCTACAAGCATTTTTTTCGGTTGCAACAATATCACTTATGTCTCCATCTCATCTTTGCTTCTTTCTCTTCACCGCATCCTTTTTGTCGTCTTCTTCTCCTCGTTTCCTTCGTTGTCTCCTTCTTATTCTCGTCGTCGCCTATGTCTCGCCGCTTTCATCTCCTCCATCTCGCCGTCTTCATTTGTTACAAAAGCTCGATGAGCAACAATGGTCAGTTTTGATTTTATTGCACATCTAGTCCCTACACATTTGACTATATTCATTTCCGATCCATGTATTTTTGATTTACAAATATACCTTTTAAAATTGATTTCAGACTTTCTAATTCTACACACCATATTTTGCATAATTAAATACAATTATTTTTTATATTGTTCAGTCAATTCATACACAATTGTTTTTTGTTTTATCTTCGTAGGAAGAATTCATGAAGATGGACAGTATGCAAGGAAGAAAAACTGAACGCCCTTTTGTACATGTGGATATGTAAATTGATGTACAACTAGGTCGCATGCACCCTTTTGTACACATGGATATATAAACATATATATATATATATATATATATATATATCCCTAAAACATTGTACTTGTGAAAATTTTAAATGAGATTTACACTTTTACTAGTATATAATCTTTTCATCTCCGCAACAACCAAATTAAAATGAATCAGATCTATATATGATTTGAGTAATATATGACATGATTCAAATGTATACCATTGTTTGGCTTTAAGAAGTGAAAATATTCTCTTTGAAATGTAATTGTAGCAATATATATACATTTCAAGATGTGTACTTTGAATTAGAAGTGGGATAGCTGAAATATGTGTACACATTACCATAATACCACATTATCTAATGGATAATTTTGAAAGTTTTACAATGTGTACAAGCATATGATGTTTATGTGTACACACAACTTTTACTATCATGTACAATGATTCAATTGTATAATATTGTGTACGTGGATACCCATGTATAGATAGATACCCACATGTAAGATCAATTTTTGTTTTTGAGCAAGTTTAACAAACAACATGTGTGCCGTGTAGAAATTTGAAAAAAAAAAAAAGTTGAAGACAAATAGACATGTTATTTCGTGTACATTTTTAAGCGTGTACACGTGTACACCAAAAATAAACCAATATATGTAAAAATATTGTACACATATAGGTAGATTGGTGATTAATGTTTATTAAAACAATACCAAAATATATAATAAAAAGATCAAGTCAAAATGAAAAAAGTGTACATAAGCTAACGATTTTTAGCTTTGATTTTAGTTCATTTAATATATTTTCAATGCATTTAATTATATGAATATATAGATTAATTTCATTAAGAGAGAGATGTAGTGCATAATAGGTTAATTTTGAAATATATGAAAAAACATTGGAAAATGTTAAGTTAAGGACCAAATGTGCACAATTAATAAATTTTGGATCAAAAACAAAATTATACAAAATGTTAAGGACCAAAATGCAAAAAAAAAGTTAAAAGTAGCCATTGACGTTTTTGAACTTCTACACTGTTGTGATGGTGAGAGAAATGAGGTAATGATGAGGAAGAGATGAAGAGATGAATTGACGTGTCGGAGGAGAAGACAAAAAAGACTACGGTAGATTTGAGAAATAGGAGAAGACGGAAACCTTTTGCAGCAAGAGCTTTGTTCATATCAACATGTAATTCAGATGACCACCGCTCAATTTTTTCAACTTCATCTTCTTTAATCTTTAAAATCATTCAATAGAAGAAAAAGAAAGATGTTCCACGTAACAGAGAAAGAAAAAAAAATTTAAAACTATAGGACCCATTTAGTTTAAAGAATACACATACGCTAGTTAGGAAACAGTTAGCTTGTAGTTTAAATAAACTATCTTAGGAGCAATAACTGCTCTATTATGTACTAAAAAAACTTAAAAGTGTCTTTGAGTGAAAATAACTCAAAACTAAATTGGGGTGAGATAGGCTTGAACACTCGACCTCAGGATCACTCACCAATAGCTATGAGAACTACGCGCTAGCCAACTGTGCCACCACCACATTTTGAAAGTAATATACATACAAATTTGATATACCTAATTAGTCCAAGGACTGTTTATCAAACTTCGTGCAAGAAAGAGACTTTAACCGATTCACAGAGTAAAATCTATCTTTCTCGCCCCTTCGTAAAGCTCGAAGCAGGCAGAGACCAGGATCGCTCTCGCTACTTTAGTTTCTTTCTTAACCGAAGCACCATAATACTTGAAAGGTATGGCCTTTTTTATGGCTTATGTTTGTCATTTTCTTATGATTTCTCGAAGAGATCATCAATCAATCGCCGACAAAGCTCCGATCTTCTAATTACTTATTTCCCTGGCCGAAAAAGAGGATATTTTTTTGGTATATATCTTTCAACTGGCCAAAGAAAAACTCAATCTTTCTATTTATGTTCGTATCGATTTGCTATTGTTGCTGCTTCTTTGGAAGCATTTTTAATTTTGGCATCCTAAAATTTCTTGTTGATTGTTATTAACTAATCTCCATTCCATTATCACCTAGTTAAAATCTTACATTTGTGTATGTGTGTGTGTGCCTTTGGCAGTTGATTCAAATATTCTGGGGTTCTATTAAGTTACTTAAGTTCTTTCAAGTCCACTCCTTTTATGTCTTAATTAATGTCTACAAGAATCTTCCTTTAATTTTATCCGTTATCTGTTATTTTTTTTAACCAGTGGTTTGAGTAATGGAAACTGAAGGAGAGATGGGTATTAGTGGAGGGATGCAAGATGCTTTGATGATGAGCATTGATGAGAAAGATGATTTGATTGACAAAGATGAAGTTATTATCCGTCGTATGAAGAATCGTGAAAGACAGCGCAGGTATAGAGCCAGGAAGCGGATGCGTGAAGAAGCAGGTCTCGATGAAATTCTCTCACTGCAAGAACAAGACCAAGAAGAGGAGGAGGAGGAGGAGGAGCTAGTGTGTAATAATGTTTGTGTTGACAACTTTGTGAGGCGTGTTTATTGCCACAGAGATTGGAAAAAAGAAGCTAGAATAGCTCATTTGATCATGGACAAGACTCGTGATGGTTCTTGTTTGGTTCATCGCAAGATTCGGCCTCGTCCAAGAGACTGGAAAGCTGAAGCTAGAAAGGTGAAAACTTGATCTAGTCCATTTAGTTGGTTCCTGAGGAGTAGTCAGTTCGGTTTGCTAGAGGATCTTGTAAGGGAAGTTTCTTAAAGATTAGATTTGACTGAAGGAAGAGATTGAACAAAGCAGCAAGCATCCCTATATAAGATTTAGAACTGTCCTTTGTTCGTAAAAGAGCGAGTCCTTCTGCTCTTTATTTTGTTGTGTATTAGAATATCCAGACGTTATGGGAGTGCAGTAGGTATACGAATGTTCGATTTGATTTCTAGCAAAACTAAAACACTATCACACACTAAAATAAAAGGAGATCGACCCCAGAACAGGGCTAAGGAATTGGTGATAAGTAGTGTTTACTTCCATGTTGTATGACTGTATGTATTATATTCAACACTTATCATCTATCAAGATTCAAATCAAGCTAGAGAAGATGAAGATAGATCTTGAGCTAGAAGAGAGAGATGATGTAAAAGGAAAGAAAAGTTTGTTATTCTCGTTACCCTGTACATTGTATCCAGATACATATATATAGTACCGGTTAAGCTAAAGGAGACTTAAACCGATAATAAAACCAAACTTAAACCAACCGATATTCTATACTAATACCCCCTCCTCAAGTCTTTACGCTCTGATAAAGACTTGACAATGACAAACGTGAAAGTAAAGAACGAAACGGTCCAGGGTGCAGAGGCTTAGTTAGAATGTCAGCAAGTTGATTTCCGGTTGAAACATGAAATGTTCTGAGACGTCCTGCCTTGATCTGATCACGAACCGTGTGACAGTCGATCTCAATGTGTTTAGTGCGCTCATGGAAAACCGGATTAGTCGCTATATGCAAAGCTGATTTGTTGTCACAATACAACTTAGCTGGTCCTGTGATCTTGACATGAAGGTCAGAAAGAAGTTGCTGCAACCAAATCAACTCGCAAGTAACCATAGCAAGGCTTCTATATTCTGCTTCAGTACTACTCCGACTCACCACTCCCTGCTTCTTAGACTTCCAACATATCAAAGAAGACCCTAGGTAAACACAGAACCCTGTAATGGAACGACGAGTTTCCTTACAAGTAGCCCAATCTGCATCTGCAAACGCATTCAAACACAACTCTGCAGAGGCTGAATACATCACTCCTTGACCAGGATTATTTTTGAGATACCGAAGCACCTTGTGAGCAGCTTGTAAATGTATATCAGTTGGAGCTGATAAAAACTGACTCAATTGATGAACAGCAAAGGTAATATCCGGTCTCGTGATAGTAAGATACAACAACCTGCCAATGAGTTCTCTGTAAACCGTAGGAGTAGGCAAGAGAGAACCCATACCCGTAGTAAGATGGAGAGAAGGATCCATTGGTACTGAACTTGGTTTACAACCAAGAAGGCCTGAGTCTTCCAACAAATTCAAGGTATATTTTCTCTGACAAACAGAAATCCCAGACGAAGACCGAGCAATCTCCAGACCAAGAAAGAATCTAGCAGGACCAAGATCCTTGATCTTGAATTCAGAATGCAATAACTCTTTGATCTCTGCAACAGCTACCTCATTATCACTTGCAATCAAGATATCATCCACATATACTAATATTGCCACAAAGGAAGCATTAGTCTTCTTCACAAACAGAGTGTTGTCAGCAGGAGACTGTATGTAATTAGCTCCCAAAAGAACTGAAGACAACCGTTTATACCACTGGCGAGAAGCTTGTTTAAGACCATATATTGACTTCCTTAATCTGCAAACTGGATTTGGTGGCAAGTCAACACCAGCAGGAGGTGTATAACCTTGAGGAAGACGCATGTAAATCTCCTCATCAAGATCTCCATGGAGAAAAGCGTTAGATACATCCATCTGAGTAAGACTCCATCCTTTGATAGCTGCTAAACTAAGCAATAACTTCACACTGGTGAGTTTAGCAACAGGTGAAAAAGTCTCAAGATAATCCACGCCTTCTTGCTGAGTAAAACCCTGAGCAACTAAACGTCCCTTGTATCGCTCAACAGTCCCATCTGCATTAAACTTGATGGTGAAAATCCATTTACAACCCACAACATTTTTCCCTTCAGGCAGAGCAACAATTTCCCATGTACCATTCTGTTCCATAGCCACAAGTTCCACATTCACAGCCTGTTTCCATTTATCAGATTTCATGGCTTGAGAAAATGTTTTAGGTTCAGTCTCGGATGAATAAGCTAGGACAGAAGCCTGAAATATGGGATTAAGTTGATCATAAGAGACCACAGAAGAAATGGGATAAGGGGTTTTTGATGTTGCAGATAAAGGATGAGGTATAGTAGAAGAAGGAGGAATGAAAAAACAAAGATGATTTTGAGAAGAAATAGATGAAGAAGGCAAACAAAGAGAAGAGCCTGTGATAGAAGGAATAAGAGAACAATGATACTGAGACAAATAAGCAGGAGTTCTAGTTGTCCGTTTAGGTCTAGAAACATGAGATTGGTCAGTCACAGTATCCTCAGTAACTTCCTCTACAGGTTCTATGTTATGACTAGTATGAGATGATGAAATAGAATCAGAAGCCAAAGAAGACTCACCATCAAAATGCAAAGGCATAGTTTCAACAAAGTGTAATGGAACCGGCATAGGTAAAATAGTATTGGGAAACATGTCAACAGATTTGGAAAGCAAATCACTTGTTTTAAAAGGAAACACTTTCTCTTTGAAAACAACATTGCGTGTAACTGTCACAGAATGGGATTCTAAATCCAAAACCTTGTAACCTTTAAAACCAGATGGATAACCAAGAAAAACACAAGGAAAAGACCGAGGACTGAATTTATTTCTATCTTTATTATGAGTTGAAGCAAAACATAAGCAACCAAATGAACGAAGCAATGTGTAATCAGGAAGCTTACCAATCAACTTTTCAAGCGGAGTTTTATTATCTAACAAAGGTGAAGGCATCCTATTGATCAGAAACACTGCAGTCATAATGCAATCACTCCAATAAGGCAAAGGGACATTAGACTGAAACAACAAAGCACGAGCAACATTTAACAGATGTTGATGTTTGCGTTCCACAATAGAGTTTTGTTGTGGAGTATAAGCACAAGAAAAGTAATGAAACATACCATGTTGTTTAATGATATCAGTAAAAGCCAACTCTGGAGCATTATCAGTACGTATAGCTTTAACTTTGGCATTATATTGTGTCAAAACATGTTTCAGAAACAATGGAAAGATAACAGAAACTTCGCTTTTATTTCTTAACATGTAAATCCAAGTGACCCTAGTACAATCATCTACTATGGTAAGAAAATAACGGTATCCTTCAACAGACTCAACACTAAAAGGACCCCAAATATCCAAATGAATCAAATCAAAAGCTTTAGGAGCCAAATTATTATGAGACACATATGCTAGACGTCTTTGTTTTGCTAAAGGACAGACATGACACGGAGAATCTTCAGAATCAACATTCTTGTATGATGGAAGTGATGATGAAATCTTTTGAAAAACACTTGAAGATGGATGACCCAAACGATGATGCCAAACAGAACTATCAGTTGATACAGATCCACAGAAAACAGGAGTAGCAGTAGTAGTAGAAACAGGAGCATCAAGAATGTAAAGATTGTTGAAAAGGCTACCCTTCCCAATCATCAAGCCCCGAGAAAGTTCCTGAATCAAGCATCCAGTAGGAAAGAAATGAGCAGCACATTGCAGAGAACGAATTAAACTACTTACACTAATCAAGTTGAACTGAAAATCAGGAACAAGTAACACATCATACAAAACCAAAGACTCAGTGATTTTTATAATGCCTGTATGAGTTATAGGAACAAAACTACCATTAGGAAGAGTAACTGTGACTGAGGATACTGGTACATAACTATCAAACATTCCTAAATCGGAACAAACGTGACTAGAAGCCCCACTATCAATAATCCAAGCATCATTGGGAAGTAAATTTTGAAGGCTAGAGAGACAATGATGTTGATAATGAAGAGAATGATTTTCAAATGTGAGATTGATAGAGGGAAAAGGAATGATACCAGAAGTAGAATTTGGTTCCATAATACCATGTTCAGTGATTGTGGCACGGGAATGAGGAGCAAATGAAGGAGAAACTTGTGGCTCTGAAACTCGGACATGAGCATTAAATTGAGTAATCAAGCTCTGTATCTGCTGAGGAGTAAAACTTTGCATGTTCAAATTCATTCCACCACTAGTCAAATGCGGAGAAACAGGTGGCAATGTAGAGAGTTGACGAGAGTCTGGATCAACAGAAACAGCCGCAACCGCATTATTCACCAAAGGTGTTGAAACCTGTTGTTCCTGAGGTTTAGGTTGAGCTTGTGAATGTCGATGTTGAGACTGATTCTTGTTATACGAAGACTGAGAACCATATGACTTATAACCAGGAGGAAAACCATGTAGTTTGAAGCACTTTTGAACGGTATGACCAGCTTTGCCACAATGAGTACACACAGGTCTTTGATAAGCCCTCCCTGCATTATAAGCAGCAACAATCGCAGAATCTTGATTCACTATAGGATTAACAACCGACTGAAATGCAACATTATCAACCGCAGTAGCCGGACGTAGTGAACGCTGTCTCTCATCTTGAGTCACAATGTTAAACGCCTCTTCAATCTTAGGTATAGGCTTCAACATCAATATGTGACGTCTTGTATGCTCATAAGACTCATTCAACCCCATCAAAAACTTAGTAACTCGACTTCTATGCTGCAGATTCTCCCACAAAGAAGCAGCATCACACTCGCATTTACCACAAGTACATACAGNATCCTTGCTCTATTTTGCTTAACCTCTGCTCAATATCATAGACCCTAGGTGCATCATCTTGCTTAAACCTAGTGACTAGATTATTCCAAATTCCTTCAGCCGTAGAGATAAACAACAAACTCTGACCTATTTTCTTGGAAACAGAATTCATCAACCAAGTCGCTACAATATCATTGCAACGAGACCAAGCTCCATAATCGCGATGAGTAAGAGAAGGTTTAGTGATAGTACCATCGATGAAACCGAGTTTGTTTCGTACATTCAACGCCATCCTAACAGATCGTCTCCAAGAATGAAAGTCAGAAGCTGTTGTTAGCCGATCTGTAACAAGAACTAAACCAGCATGATCATTATGATGAAGATAGTAGGGATTCTCATAAAGATCAGACGCCGAACGATGAGAATCAGAGGAAGCTCGAATCGGAGAAGAGGAAGTCGCCATGGATGAATCAGAAAGCTCGATTCAAATCGAATCGAAAGAAAACGATGAAATCAATCGATCAAGAAGAAACGGAATCAACAATCCCAAGCACAAACAAGCAGCAAAGCAGTATCCCGATGCAGATCTCGCTAATCGCACGAACACATTCAAGAAAAAATCGCGAAAAAGAGAGCAACGGAATACTCATGAGAACGAGAAAGAAAAAGCTCAAAGATCAATGCGGAAGATGATTAGCTCTGATACCATATCAAGATTCGAATCAAGCTAGAGAAGATG